GCACTAATTTCTTCAGATTTATCTTCCACTTCACTAATTCTTTCCTTAACTGTACTTAATCTGTTCAAATTTGTTCTGATGGTCTCTACTTTTACTCTTCTAGGCCTCCACCTTCTGTGATTTTGGTATCTTGCCATTTCTACATAAAATTTCTTTCCGTGAGTCCCTTTAGTCTTTCTTGTGAGGTCAATTTAATGGTGATTATAGTTCTTTTAATTTCTGTATGCTTATGAAGCTCTTTATACTGCCTCCATTTCTGATTCAGTCTAGCAGGATATTATATTCTTGGTTGCAAATTTCCTTCTTTTAGGACTTTAAGTAAATTATGCCATTACTTTCTAGTCTACAAGGTTTCCACTTAGAAACTGCAATTAATGTTATTGGTGTTCCCTTACATGTAACTTGTTTTTCCCTGGACTCCTTACTCTTCTTTCCTTATCATTAATTTTTGGCAGTTTAATTATATCAAAGGTCCTTGAATGTATAATGACTTAACTGAGTATATGCTCCTTTGAACTTCATCTATGGGAATTCTTTCAGGTCTGTGATGAAAACTTACAGCTCCAATCTGATTCCTAGGACAATTTAAAAATGAATTCTCAACTTGAGGTGCTTTATATAATGCAGGGAAAAGATTAAAGAGCCATGTGACAGTTTCTTTGTGCTGATAAAATCTTGGGGAGACACTTGGTCAGTGCCAAGATCAACAGGCAGGCTCCCTATTGTAGTGGGTGCTACACATTTTTAAATAAAAATACCATTACACTATAACATTGTGTAAGTTTTAGGTGTGCATCATTATAAATCAACATTTGCATATACTACATTAAATTTACCAGGTAGATACATTTCAAGCTAATTTGTACACTGGCAAATGTAGTCCTTTGGGAACTCACTTTTGTGGTAATCTCCTATAGATCCTCTCACACTGACAAGCTTGTCTTATGTCTTCTTCAGCTCTTTCAACTGTCTAAACGGAAGTTCCAGGGCCCTAGATTTCAACTGTACCCAGGTACTTAGTCTGGATTTTGCTTTTGCTTCTTTTTTGGTCTCTGAGTTACTTTTTTGTCATCTTATCAGTATTTAAAACATTGTAGATGTCATTTTTAGTTGCTTTTAGTGGGAATATTGTTCAACATATCTAATAATCATATTGTAAGACATGGAAATTGAAGTAATTTCTCTATTATTTATATACTATATCAACTCAAGAGAAAAACAGCAAGATACCCATGCCCCACTAATATAACTTACCTGAGTGACATCTCTGAACTCTGTCCCTGCAGGAGATTTAACTTTTGGACATGACATCTACAGTCAGCAGCAGATCCCTCACCATAAGCCTGGGGGGTAGAGGGGGAAGCGAATTAAATTTTTAAAATGTTGACAGAATGCTGAGGAATAGCAATTCACCTCAGGGAGGCTAAAATTGTTCTTTGCAAGTCCCAAGGATTCTTGAAACAGTATGCAGAAATCCTAAGAACTGTCTGCTGTTTCTGGAATGATTGACCAACAGTCTCAGGAGGTAAGTTTTGGTTTTCCGGCTGCCCAATAACAACATCCTGAACTCAAAGCCAAACTCAATCCAAAACCCCATACAAAAGGGGTGAATGTTAGGAAGAAACTCAGAAGAGAAGTAACACAACTTGGGAAATGATACCTACAACAAATAACCCAGGACATACAAAGTAAAAAGAGTTTTCTTTTTACTTTAGTCATTTGTTCAATAAATATTTACTGAGCAACTTTTATGTGTCTAGCCTAGGTAAAGACAATATAATACGAATGTGGACAAAAATCACTTCACCATGGGGTTCACAGTCTCCTTTCTAGTGAGAAGTGTACCGAGGAAAGCAACGTAATGCAAGGGAGTAGAGTGGGTTCAGACTAGATGATTTTATACTGGGTGTTCAAGGTTGTCAAGGAACAGATAGCTAAGGTGCAGGAAAAATGAAGACATGAGGGGGCAAAGCATATATTTAGCAGAAGCAATGAAAGGGAAATGAGTACCAAATGCTCCAAATCTGGCATTCTGGAGGAACCGTAAGGGGATGTGTGACTGAGCTGAAGGCTCTAGGAGGATGATGGCAGGAGATGAACTTTGAGAGCATGGGTCCTACTCTATGGAGAGTCAGCCTCATGGACATGAGTCTTGCTCTGCTGTCACCATGAGGAATTCCTTCTAATCTTACCTGACACAAGCTATGCGACGGCTATCATCTGACAGATTCCGGGTAGC